TTCTATCTCCGGAACTCTTTTTTTTCCTTCTCCCCTCAGGCCACATGATGCTCTGTGTCTCCTGGTTATTGTTCGCCGCCTCCAGTCTCCTCCCTCTCTACCTGAAACTCCCTGTTTCTTTATTCAATAGTGTGTTTGTCTCCAGTCTTCCCCCCAGGAGAAGACAAACTGCTTAAGACCAAGAACCCCCTCTGACTTGTTCATGGCTGTGGCCCCTGAACCCAGAACATTACAGCTCCCCACATATGGTCTCTTGGGTTGAGTGAAAGAATGTATCGATCCTTCACAAGCCAGGCTCTTTTGTTCCAAGCAATTCACCTGAACCACCTGACAGGATTCTGTGGACATAAGCTGCTATTTATGCTGGTGTAGACCTGGCCAGAGTCACACAGCCAGAAAGGGCTGGAACCTGGATGGAACCGGTCTGCCCCTCTAAGACCACATCAGCGGTACAGCTGGCAGCTGAGCTCTATAGAGAACTCTCACACAGCACGCGTGCATGAATGAGTGGGCTGATTATAAACACCTGCACTGCATAGCAGCGTGCTGCCAGAAGCAACCTTCCCAGGGACCATCATATCCACGTAGCTGTAGGCTCTCTCCGGGGTGGCTCTGCTATCTTGTGAGAGTCCTATCTCTGGCTAGCTGCCATTCGCCTGGCAGCCCTTATGTCTTATCTCATCAATCATCAGGCTACACTCAGCCAGGGTGGGTCTCTGAATAAGACGTGTGTGTCGACAATGAAACGGCCTGGAGCTCTGAAGGGAATCGAACCCACTCTGAGGGAGGCAGGGGAAGACCACAAGTACTGCCGGCCTGAGGTCTGAATGCATCCCTCTCAACTGAGGAGGGCCCACTAGGAGAGGAGGAGAGGGCAGGATTTTTATCCGAAAAGGAAGGAGGGAGGAGAAAAGGAAAAGTAGCTGGGGGATAGGAGTAGAGATGGAGGGTGTCGGGTTCCTATTGCAATTGAAATTTAGATTCCTCTGGTGCTCTGCCAGGTCCAGTGCACTGCACCCTCCCCTTCCCTAGAGTAAGCTGACAGCCCAGGAAAGCAGGCAGGTTACGGGGGTGATTTATTGCAGGCCCTTCTTCTTCTAATGCCGGCTTGGTGGCTTGGCTTCCCGCACCCTCGGCTGCCCCAGCACTTCCGGGTACGGACCAGCTGGGAGAGTCTTAGCTTATCCGTGCCTAGCAGCCACTTGCCTGGTTTTCTTTCCATCCCAGCCTCCAGGGAGAGGAATTTGCGCTGTCTCCCCGTGAAACCTTCTGCTGAAAGTCAAGATGTCTGAGTGAGGCTCTGCAGAGATTTTCTAGTCCAGCTCCTCGGTTTTTTTGTTTTGCTTTTCAACCTGAACAAATTAATAATAATAATAACAATAATAATAAAAGTAATTGCCAATTTTAAACTGAAATAGATTGCACTTAAAATTTGTATGCTTTTTTTCCTGAAGCTGAGCAGTGGTGGTGCATGCCTTTAATCTCAGCACTGGGGAGGCAGAGGCAGGAGAGTTTGAGGCCAGCCTGGTCTACAGAGAGAGTCCCAGTACAACCAGGGCTACACAGACAAACCCTTGCTAGGAAAAAGCAAAACAAACAACAACAACAAAGCAAGCACCGAAAGAACCGGAATCAGCTAGATGCCCTGCTAGGGGCCTAGCCTTGAAAGTCACATTGTTTTTCCCACTTTTCTTTGTTGGTCTAACTGGCTACCTAGCTGCTCAGATCCAACCGGGAACTCAACCCCTAGCAGCAAACCCAACCCATTTCTTATCTGTCTTCCTGGAGAGAATTACATGCATGCCCACACCACAGAGACAAGAGAATTATAAAAGCCCAAGCCATACACTCTACTTTGGTTATTCAAATCCTATTCCATCCAACCAGAACCCAAATAGATTCAAGCAATAGAGTCCCTTGGATTTGCTCTCCAGCCCTTGCCACGTGTGCTCTGAAATGCAACCCAGGTCAAGGTTTCCAGTTCTGTAGCACCAGATGCTTTCTGGATCTCACTCTCTGAATCCAGAAAGCCGGGTGTGCTGTAGAATGCCTATGACCCCAGGTTAAGGTAAAGAGCATCTGAACAATACACAAGCAAGTTCTAGGTAAGCCTGGGTTTCATAGAAAGACCCTGTTGACAAGAAGGAAGAAGAAAGGGAAGAAGGAAAGAAAGAAAGAAAGAAAGAAAGAAAGAAAGAAAGAAAGAAAGAAAGAAAGAAGGAGGGAAGGAAGGAAAGAAAGAAAGAAAGAAAGAAAGAAAGAAAGAAAGAAAGAGAAAGAAAGAAAGAAAGGAAAATCTTTAAAAAATTAAAAATTGAAAAAACCAAAAACAGGGCTGGAGAGATAGCTCAGAGGTTAAGAGCACTGCTGTTCTTCCAAAGGTCCTGAGTTCAATTCCCAGCAACCACATGGTGGCTTACAACCATCTAGAATGAGATCTGGTGCCCTCTTCTGGCCTGCTGGCTCACAGACAGGCAGAATGCTATATATTTAATAAATGAATAAATAAATAAATCTTAAAAAACAAACAACCAAACAAAAAACATCCAAACACACATCCCAAGTGAAGACATAAGAAAATACTGTTCTATGGCCATCACAACGGCTCAGCATGTTAAAGTGCCTGTTGTCAAGTCTGACAGCCTGAGTTTGATGCCTTTTGCTCATGAACTAGAAGGAGAGAGCCAACTCTCATTAGTTGTCCTTTTACCTAAACACACACACATACACACACTTAAAAAAAAAACATGCTATTCTAAAGCTTGCATGTTTTCACTTAATACTTTACGTGGGGCTGAGCTGTGGCTCGGTTAGTCAAGTTCTTATCTAGCCTGTATAGAGGTTTTACAACAAACTTCAGACACAATGGCACTTGCCTATAATCCCAGAATTCCAAAGGTGGAAGCAGGAAGGTCAGAAGTCCAAATCTATTCTCAGATACATTATGGGTTTGCAGTTAGACCATGCTAAATGAAGCCCTGTCTCAAAATAAGAATAAATGAATAACTTATTTTAAAGATCAGCCTATTTTAGTGTATGCAGCAGGGTTTCATATAAGAGCACACTGCATTCCAGTATTCAAATGCATTATATCACCTCCCATTGATTGATTAATTGGCCTTAGCCCCAATTGTGCTAATCCTAACTTACACTGGAGTAAATAATCTTCTCTAGGAAAAAGAGAGAGGCAGAGAAACAGGGAGACAGAGAGAAACAGAAACAGAGGCAGGGATTCTCTGTGGTTGTGGGATGAATGCCTAGAGGCAGAATGCTATATGAAGGGAGGGCTCCTGCCACCATCTAGACTGTGCTCTGAAGAGCAGTTGTGATCCACACTCCGTGCCTCCTGTGATCTCACCATGATGGTTTGCCTGCTGATCGCATGACCTGTGGGATGCTGCCTGCTTCCGGGGCAGCAGGCGGCAGCTGTTTCCTAGCTATTTATCAGCATCACATGAAGGACTGCGGGGCGAGGGCAATGGGTAGACCCAGGAAAGAAGAGATCATTACTTCTGTAGAAGAACTTGGGGTACAAGGAGCACTTCATCTGTCTCTTGACTCCTGGCAATTCCTTTAGCTCTTTCTCTCTTGGCCAGGCTATTCGATATTTTCTCTCTTTTTGGAAAAGAGCTTATCTACTTGATCTATTTTATTTTATTTTATATTTTTTAAGACAGGGCTTCTCTGTGTAGCTTTAGCTGTCTGGGACTGGCTCTGTAGACCAGCCTGGCTTCGTGTGCAACCACCACCTGGCTTACTTCATTCTTTTTAAAATGTGTTCTGGGGGCAGTATTTGTACATGTGTGGGTGACCTCAGAGGCCAGAAGTGGGTGACAGATCCCCCTGGAGCTGGAGTTATGAGCAGTTTTAGGTTGCCCCCAAAATGGGTTCAGGAAATTGGACTCTGAAAGAGCAGCAAGTGCTTTTAACTGCTGAGCCATCTCTTCAGCTCAAGACTTCTGTCTTAGTTGTAGAAGATTCCAGTTGTGCAATAACTAAAGAAAAGAAACACCTTACCCTTCTCAATAATTCCAAGATAAATATAAGCACATGACTATGGGGCTCCTGTAGCCCAGGTTGGCCTCTAACTTGCAATGAAACTGAGGATGACTCAAACTTTGGTTCCGCCTATTCCTAACTCCCAACTGCTAGGATTGTGATAGGTAAGTTTCCCCACAGGAAGTTTTTTTGTGTTGTTAGGGATTGGACCCTGTGTTTACTGCCTGCCACACAAGCACTCTATCGACTGAGCCCCACCCCTAGGCACTCAGCGTTTTGTTCCCATGGAACCTAGCCTCTCAGTGTCTCAGTTTCCTCATCCATAAAGTAGGAAAATAGGTCCAAGCACCCAGGCTTGTCATGAAAATCAACTGGTCTAAACTGTTGCAAAATGCTTACCTTTTAATATGAGGAGTTTGCCTCCCTTTTTTGAGACAAGGTTTCTCGGTGTAGCCCTGGCTGTCCTGGACTTGTTTTGTAGACCAGGCTGGCCTCAAACTCATAAAGATCCACCTGCCTCTGCTCCACACACACACCCCCCCCCCCAAGCCTGGGTTGCCGGGGTGTGCGGCCCCCGCCCGGTTAATTTTTAAAACTTTTCTCAGAGAGCTAGAAGCCAAGCTATTACTGTCTTGGAAATGCAGACAAAAGCTAGAAAAAAAAAAAAAATGAAGTGACTTTTCCTCCCAAGATCTCATAGCTCTGGAGATAGGATTCAAGCTGGGTCAGTCTGACTCTTAACTCATTTCTCCTCTGCTACAGAGGCTGATCCAAATCATACTGGGTCCTTGAGCCAGGATCTCTGTTGAGGCTCCATATGGGAGGGACCCTGGGCAGTTTGACCTATCTGTCCACATTCTCCTCACCCACAGGCCACCCTTAAATCATAGGAAGTTCACACAGCCAGCAACTGGTTCTGTAAGCCAAAGAAAAGGGGGTGGAGCCGTTCGGAGAAGGAAAAGGGAGAAGAGAGATGTGTTAGTCATTGCTGTGACACATACCTGAAGAAAGCTGGACGTACACAGTGAGCTCCATGCCTGGCAAGTGACATCGTGAGACCCTGTCTCAAAAACACAAAGCATCATCATCATCATCATCAACAACAACAATTTTTTAAATTTACATTGTCAAAATAAATAAATAGCTGGGTGGTGGTGGCGCATACCTTTAATCCAGCACTGGGGAGTCAGAGGCACGCAGATCTCTGAGTTTGAGGCCATTATATACAGAGTGAATCCCAGGACAGCCAGGACTACATAGAGAAACCCTGTCTTGAAAAAAAAAAAAATGAATGAATAAATAAATAAACAAACAAATAAGCAAGCCAGAGTAGTACACACTTGTGATCCCAGGACACTTCCCACATATTCCCTATTTCCTCATGCATGAGCCCCTCGCAGCCTGTGAGGACAGAAAATGATGGTGGATAAAGATAAGGTACTATGAGTATCAGGCAATTCTGACTTCTACTTCTGCCTGGGCCATTTATTAATCTTCAGCTCAGCCTTGTGGTACAGGTTTGTAATCCCAGATACTCTGGAGGCCAAGGCAGGGGACTCACAAATTCAATGCCAGCCTGCAGATCTTAGCGAGATGCTGTCTCAAAATTTAAAAAAAAGTTCAAGGAAACAAAAAAAGGAGTATACTGAGGTCACAGCATCCATGTGTTCAGTTTCCGCTCTGTCTGAGATAGTCTTCATAGTGCATAGAGGACTTCATATGCTAGAGGACTTTGAGTTTCCAGGGATTCGCGCATCCACCTCCTATCTCACTTGTCTGAACCCTGGAATTACAGATGTATGCTATCATTCCTGGCTTTACATGCATCTTGGAGATTTGAACTCAAGGTCCTCAGAGTTGCGTGACAAGTGCTTTACCTGCTGAGCCATCTCTCCAGCCTCCAAAAGGTAGAATCTATCTGGACATTGTGGCTTTGTCTGTAATCTCAGCACTCAGAAGACTGAGGTGGGGAAATTGTTAGGATTTTGGAACAAAACCTGCTTCTGGGTTGCCTAGCAACTTATGATGTCACCATGTGTCTCTGGCCAGGTGGCCACACCTGGAAGACATGGTTACCTTGTCCTTTAAAGGGACCAGCCGGCCATGTGGTCTCTCTCTTGGTCCTTCCTCTCTATCGGGGTGCCCCCTCTCTCTTCCCCCTCCTCTCTTTCCCTCTCTCTCTATCTTTCCCCCTTCATGTCCTGCTCTCCCTGCTCTCCCTTCTCTCTCTCTCTCTCTCCATAGCCACCTAATAAACCTCTTTTATATATAAGATCTGTCATACGCCTAATCGTCTTTATTTAATTAGTTTTCCCCATAACCTTACACAGATCTCTGAGTGTTAGAGGCCAGATTTGTCTACCTAGTAAGAAGACCCCCATCTCCAAAAATTAAAAGGAAGAAAAAAAAAGGGAAGACTTAATACTTAGTAAATCATAGAGAAAATCACAGAGTTTGTGTGGAATGTCTCAATCATGGAAACTTCTGTGAGAAGGGGATTATTTTTGGTCATATAGCCAAAGGGAAAATAAAGTGCCTTTACTCTCTTTCTATTTATTTTTATTTTTTTGTCTATGAGAATTTTGTCTGAATGTATGTACATATACCACATACATGCCTGCAATCCTCCAGAACTGGAGTTATGGATGGTGCAGGTTGCTGTGTGGGTCCTGGGAACTGAACCCAGGGACTCTTGCAAGAGCAACAAAAGCTCTGAGCCATCTTTCTAGTCCATACTTTTACTCTCTTACATTTAATGTTTTGGGAACTGGAAATTAAACTGACAAAGGACAGATTATCAGGAGAAACAAAACAAAACAGCCCCCCCCCTCAAAAAAATAACAAGTTTAACCATGTGCCCACAGAAGCCCACAGAAAAATGTGACTCAAGAGGCTAGTTAGAGGGCTGAAGAGATAGGTTAGCTGGTAAGAGCATTTGCTGCTCTTGCAGTGGACCTATGTTCATCAGGTCTCAGCATGTACGTGGAGGGACACAACTGTCTATAACTCCAGTTCCAGGGCATGCCCTTTTCTAGTCTCCAGAGGCACCTGCCATCTGCTGTACATACACACATTCAGGCAAAGACATTCATATACTTAAGATAAAAATAAAAGTAGAGAGGGGGTGGCAAGGGGGTGGCCAGCAGTGGTAGAGTTTGTCTAATATCCATGAGGTCCTGGTTCAATCCCTACCACAAAAGAAACAAAAAATGCCAGGCTTAATTAGAGCTCAGATCCTACAGAACATTCTCTGCATAGAAGCTAGGTCAAAGCCAAGAGCACGTAGTGAAACAGGAGTGGGCCCTTCACTGACTAGATGAGAGATAATTCTGTGTGGTGACTTCCAGTCCCCAGAGATCAAAGCCAATCTTCTCTGGTTGGACATTTATGATTTTGGCAGCTCTGCTTTCAGACAATAAACAATTTCAGGAACTGAGGCCAGGATGTAACTCAGTGATAGAATACTTGTGCTTACTTTACATAAAGCTTAAGGGTGCATGGTGGCTCATACTTTCTGAGTCCCACAGCCTGGTCTACATAGCAAGTCCCAGGTCAGCCAAGGACACATGACACCCTGTCAAACAAAAAACAAAAAACAAATAAACAAACAAAAACCCCTATGTGCAAGGCCGTTGGTTCAGTCCCCAGGAATTCAAAGGCTTTCTGCCTAAAATAACTTTTACATCACAGTAATATGCTTTGGACCCTTTCCCTGCAAAGTTCCAGAGTGAGACAGTGACTACATACAGCACCAGGAGCTCCAGCCAGCTCATGTCTTGTCAACATTACCTTTATTTATTTATTTATTTTCTGCTGACACAAAGTTGCATAGAGCTTGCTTCTATAGCCGGGGCTGGCCTTAAACTCCTGCTCCTTCTGTCCCAGCCTCCTGATTGCTGACATTTTTTTTTCACATGACACTGAACTAGGCTCTGTCTTGTTCTCACTCTCCCATTTCCTCGACAGTCTCTCTTGCATCCCGGGAGCTCCTCCTGCCTCTACCTTGCAAGGTCTGAGAATCAGGTCTACCACCACGCCTGGTTTATGTGGTGCTAGGCATCAAGTACATGTTTCATGTAGGCTAGGCCAGCACTTGCCATATTATCTACATTCCCCAGCCTCCTCTCCCTCTCTCTCTCTCTCTCTCTCTCTCTCTCTCTCTCTCTTTCTCTCTCTCTCTCTCTCTCTTTCCCTCTCTGGTTACTGTTGTTGTTTTAAGTTATTTATTTTTATGTTTTAAGTGTTTTGCCCATACGAAAGTATGTGCACCATGTTTGTGCCCGGTGCCCAAGGAGGTCAAAGAGGGCATTGGCTCCTCCAGAACTAGAGTTACTGGGAACTGAGCACTGAGCTATCTCTCCCATTTGTGTTTTTGAGACAAGGTTTTGCTATGTAGCCCATGCTTGCTAGCTTTAACTTATGGAAACTCTGCCCCTGCCGCTGCCCCTGCCGCTGCCTCTTGAGCCCTGAGGTCATAGGCATGACCTCTCCTTGCTGTCTCTGATATTTTTTTCTTGCATGGCTTTGTTCTCAGGCTCACTCCTTCTCTGACATTGCTAAAGGACCTTCAGCACCTCCAGATATGCATCAAGGTAATTACTGGCAATTTTACTATTCCCAAGAGTTCTAGCAAAATTCCTTGAGCTTGGGCTCACTGGATTTGGGGCATGCGGGGGTGTGGGGGGGTGGGAGGTGTAATCTGCTGATTGGTTAGATCTGGCATACATGTTTGTCCTGGAGCCCAATATTTGAAAGTCAAGGTCAGCCTTTTGCAGAGCACAAGGACTGAAATGGGCGAGTTATTTCCTGAAGGGTAACATGCTGTTTTTTAACCAAAGGAGCGCAGATGGTGCTGGGCAAGGAAAGCCCACAGATACCCAACATGGAGAATCCCACAGTGGGAAAAGCTGAACCACCAGGGTCTCACAGGGTAAGAGCTGAAAAGCCCCTCACAAGTGGGCTCATTGGGACTTTCCTGTGACAGCAGCATTTGGGGGTTGGGGGAGCTCAGAAGCCCATCCTAGATCTGGCTGATGCCCAGTAAGAAGATGTCCTTGACAGTGCTTTTCTTCTGGAAGATTCTGGATCACAGCTGGCCACCAGGCTCCCTGTTTATGCTCCTTCCAGTAAGCTCTGGGCTCTGGCCACCTGCCAGGTTGGCATGGCACCAGCCACTAACTGTATACTCTTTCCCTGACACAGGCTGGGTCGCCACAACTTCCGGGGTTCCTAGGGAGCCAGAAGAAGGATTAGGAAGTGCAGTCTTTGTGTGGCTGAGGTCCACAGGGCCAGATGCTGTCTCTTCCCTTCCCCCAACTCAGATCCCACCCTCTGCTCCCTATTTAAAAGCAAGCACCACACCTCTTCCAGCCTACACTGCAGCATCCTGTTCAGACCTGCTTGCACAATCCTAAAGCCTAGGGCATTGTGCCCTAGGAAAGGAAGAGCTAACTCAAACAAAGCCTGCTTGAATGGGAAGTCAGCTTTCTCTGTTCTCTCCCACCCTCTGGTTCAGATGCTCAATAGGAGCTCAACAGGAATTTGTGGGGCATTCCCAAGGGCTCCTGCCAGCCTCCTTTCTTTTTTCCTTCCCTTCTTATTCTCTCTCTCTACAGGATGTTAAAAATACCTAATCAAGAGATTGAAAACTGGTGTGGTTCACAGTCCAGAACATGATGTGTTTGTCCTTTCCACTATTTAAGAAAAACTTGAGGGTCTGGGCTCTATATTAGTAGGTAATGTATTTGTCTCGCAAGCACAAAAACCTGAGTTCAATCTCCAATAAGGCATAAGCCAAGAGTGGTGATGAAAATCTGGTGCTGGCATTCAGGAGGTGGAGGCTCTCTGTAACAGTGAATTCCAGGCCAGTTTGAGATTGATGAGACCCTGTCACAAACAAAACAAAGCAATGAAAGATTGTTGAGGTGATTCTATATAAATTGATAACACCACTCCATGGTATGGTTAAGGGGAAGATTTTTATTGTAGGTGTGTGTATGTGAGAGAGAGAGAGAAAGAAAGAGAACAGCCAGAGGTATTTGAAAGAGTCCAGAGCAGAGACAGAAAAGTAGTAGGCTGAAAATAGCCAGCAGATTGGGCCTGGCCATGAGAGAAGCATAAGTAGGAACAGAGCAGAGAGACTGGGATGTGGGAGGGGAGAAAGAGAGGGAGAGAGGGAAGGAAGGAGAGGTGTGTGGGGGGAGATAGACAGAAACAGCATTGCAGATTCAGCAGGGTTATGAGGAGAATGAGTAGCTGGGGGAAGGG